TAGCGTATTTTCACTAAAATTTGTTGAAACAGCTAGTGGGTATAAAAGTTAGAATTCTTCAATACAAAATAAAGGATGACAGAAAAGAGGTAATTTTTTCTACTTACCTACTATTCGTACATACACACTTATGCGTATACCATTGAGCATTACCACTTAAAAACTCTAAGGGCCGTATGGCCCTTTGTAATTCTCTCTGGCAAACAAATATCCACTTCAGTAAAATTTCTACTTCACTTATATAAATATAAGTGGAATTAATTAATTGATTAATAGCCTGCGTTGCTAGTGCTCAATGTCTCTTTTTTTAGTCTAAGAATTCAATTCATTAGTCTAAAATTAAAATAATAATAATAATAATAATAATGTTAGAAGTGTTTAAATTTGCTATAAGTACTCCTTTAATCGTCGTTTAACATATGATATGGATTGTGAATTGTAAGGAATATTGGCAAACTATTATGTTTCAAACAATCTTTGCGCTCAATTCTCTCCTTTGTGGTTTCCAAGCGACATCCTGATATCTGTATATCACATCCACGTTTAGCGTTAAAACGGTGTTGGTTTTGTTGTAATTCAATTGTGTGTATGTATATCAACAGCTGCATTTTATGTCGGCTTTGTTTGATCCATGTCCTTGTAAATCGATGTTGTTGAAAACGTCATTAGCACTTGAAATATATATTGCAGTGCCTTGTTTTGAAGAACTTGAGAAGATTACGAGTCATTATTCTTCTTATAGGCATAAAAAATAGATAAATAACTTATTCTACTTTCAAATAATGACTGAAATATTAACAGTTTCGTCTTCTCATTTAGTTTGTGTCATAAAAAGTGTTCCATTCCACTGAGTTTCGCTCAGGGCTGCCCAGCGGTCCGTTCCAAGAAAATTTGTTCGTGGAATTAACGGAACCTTCGTATTTCGGTGTTAGATCAAAAATATGTATTTATAGAATCCAAGAAGCATACAAGATGGCGACGTAACGTTATTTGTGACGTAACTTCGTGGTGAAAGAAAAAAACCTTGAAGCCTTGAGTGAGCAGTCATGCTTTCTCTTTATCGGTGTAAAAGTGTACTTTCGGGCCGGGAGTCTGTGAGATAATGATACGAGCGCACGCTATTATCCTAGGGACCTCGTTCCGGACGGACAACCCAACTACCAACCACTGGTTAGCGGCAGAGCTAGACTATACTTTTGGGCCGAAGATCCATAAGATAATGATGCAAGCGCACACTGTTATCTTACGGACCTTCGTCTGGACGGACAGGACGACAACTACTACTGCTTTGACTTACTTGTTCGTTCAATTGCTGCTGCAACACTAAAGGAAAGATTGCTGCTTGCGCGCTGCTTTTATACCTGTTGGCTGCCGCACTAATTCATTTACATTTAGAGCTTTCACCACGAGGTGTGTTTACTTAGGAGAAAGGTACATTCATACTTAAAGCTATTAAACGAAGTCATACAGTGTTGCATAATGATTTCGCGTGAAAATAACAGGCCTATAGTTTATAATATAAGAACTTAAAGTTTAGTGAGCTTAACCAGAGTTAGTTAATTTTTATTTACATTTACATAACAAGTCTGTTCATGTTCGGGGCGGTAAAGGAAGCCTCCTTCCTTACAACGTTTTTCAATTAAAATGGTATGATCCACCAAATCGAAGATTTTCGCAAAATCGTAAAACATGCTGCCTACGTTAGAGCAAGCATCGTCTAAGCATTCGCACGTATGGATGACTACACTTTCTACAGCTTGATCTGTTCCACAGCCTTTCTCACGTTGATTTTTAGGCAGACTAACATTTTCCAGGAATGTGACTTATTAAGTTTGCAGTATTTTTCGAATATTTTGTCAACTGTATACAAGATAGGTAATAGGCTAAGTAGTTTCCATCACCCTTACACGAGAATGTTTTGATATCGGTATAATTTTCTACACTTTAAGTCTACTAGGAAAAATAAGCCTGGTTATAGTTTTATTAAAGGTGGGCTAGGTACACACCAGTTCACTTAAACATTCACATGTTAGTGGAGGTGATATATTATCAAAACCCAACATCCAAGTTGAAACTCAGACCACAAATTGCAGCCGCATTACATTATGCCAGTCTGAAATACTTCTGGTGTCGTTTAACCGATAGGAGTGCATTCCAATTGTCCCCTGTATCGTTATTTCCCAGCAATTGATCCATCTTCTAGCATATAAAGACGTTCCACCACATCCATCATCTCTACGACATTGTACTTTTTTTTGACCCGAAATCGTGTAGAATTTCAGAAAATTGTTCTGAAATCATGTTTCTTGGTGACATAATGACTGCAGTAGCCAACAGTTTCCAAGAACTAGCCGTGGTTCAATAACGCTGATACATCCCCACCCAGAAAATCGTTGATACAGAGATACTTTCGCTTTTTCCAACATAACTCTCTGCTTTGTAGACTTTGAGGTCAATTTTGCTACTGCCGTATTTGTCGCGACGCCATCTTCCTTCCAATAAAATTGGTATCTTCAAAATCATTGGTATTCGAAGTGACGTCTATCTTTTCTATTACTTTCCTCATAGATTGAAGTGCATTAACACCAAGCTCAATTCTACTAACCAAGCAATCGTTTCAAACCGCACATTCGCCCAAATATTTCCAATTCTATTTTAACTCATCTACTCCTTTTATCAATAGTGAGCTTCATTTTTCTACTGCTTCGATCTTTTTTTGTTTTCTGGAGATTCTTTCATTATTCGCCATCGATTCTTACCTTACGCTCAGCTGATTTAATTTATTTAATTATGTTTTCATTACTTATTTAATTCGCTTTGAACTTCCCGCCACTATCACTTTTCACTTGTCAAAAAAACTGCTTATTGTTGTTACTCGCTAAATGGCTATGTTGCTATTTATCAAACTACTGCACAAGACTTGGTATGTTTTCAAGCATTGTATGATATTATTTTGATTTTCTTTCGCCTGCAGTTTCCATTTGCCCTTAATTATTATTGTGAAGGTTCATGTTGAATATTTATAATTTATTTATAATTTACAACCACAATTGTTTAGATTTATGGCGAACATCCGAGCCTACCACTATATATTCCCAGTACAAAGGATATTGAAAGAAATGGCTTGATATGTTGTCTGTCTTTGCCATATGTTACCATACATGCGAAAAAGCTGAAAGTCTATCTGTATAATGTATTGCTTCGTGCAATTTGTATGCATTATTACAATTCATGAACAGTAAGACATTCGCAGACAAAAAACAGATCCAAGAAAACATAAGTTTCGTCTGAGAGAAGAGGAATAAGTAGAGAGAGAAAAATTGTATAGCGAGTTGAGTTCGAAGTAAGCAATCGCGATTTTCGTGAGTCATTCTTCCGCAAGTACCTACAAGAAATGTTTGGTTGGAAGATCTTGTGGTCTTGAGTAGAACTATCTAAATTAGAAAAGTTGGCTGATGGTCACTTTCTTATTTAATAAAGTTTTGTTAGCTGTGCTGAGAATCAAAAGAATAACGAAAAAATAATTTCTTTCGTTTTGTTTATAAATAAAAATATAATTAAAGAGTACATAAAAGAAGCGAGGAAAGGAATGAAATAAGACTTAACAGTGGTAATAAATATATTTATAATATTAGACTACGGGTATATAATACTTAAACACATAGAAAAACATACTAAAAGAAAATTACAAGAAACTAAATATATGTGTAACAATTAAAATTACAAATGTATAAAACTTAAACATATAGAAAAACACAAGAAAATAGTGCTAAAAGTAAATCTTAAATCTAAGAACCGCTATAACAAATATAGTTATAAAATCAATCGTTATAAGAAAAAAGTCAGAAGGCTACAAACAAAAAACTTCTATTCTGAAATATAAGCTAGAATTAAAAATTATGTGGAGATTTGCGTATGATGGCGTACTTAGAATAGGGGTAAATGGACACTTATAGAGATATTCAACAGATAGCGGCGCTGCGATCAATCAACTTCGACCTTTAACAAGAATTAGGCAGCTAAGTTACTTATTTTCTTTTTATATATGCATGCTTTGTTTACATCACATAAAACGTGGTTGGAAAATAAGAAAAATTGTAATATTCTGCTAAAGGTAAAAACGTAATGCTTTCATGAATGTGGTATGTGAAGGGTGTGTAGTAATTGGGTGATAAGTCAACGGGCGGCCATAAGATACGATGACTCAAATGTATTATTATATAAATTTATTAGTGACTAATATTTTCTGTTACATTCTTTTTCTTTGATAAGTAATGTGGACTGAGTCCAAATGGGATTAGTAGGTATGTACAATCGTGGAGACCGACCTTTGGCCATAAAAGAAAATGCTTGTTCCTGTCCCTATCCCTATCTTCGACCTTTAAAATGGGTCCGGTAGATAAGTGCAAACGTGGAAACGCTTTCGCATACCGCCCTCCGGTCTGAGCGCAAAAACTTCGCCCTTGCCGGGCTGACGCACTAACAATAATCTGTGAAGCTGGCTGCTGAGCTATTCGAATTTCTTAACAGCTATCTGGATATCAATTCTGAAAACCAAGCGTAGTGACACCACTTAGAAATTAAATGTTCTTTGGTTTATTGGATTATTTTAGATTCTTTATTCTTTAACTTTCGTTTAAAATACGTGCTTATATTATAATGTATCTAATGTATGGTCAGTATCTTATATAAGAAATAACTTAATGCTAACTTAAGCAATATAACTAAATTAGGTTATCGCTTAGAATAATAACGTAAGCATATAATATTTTATTAATAGCTTATTACTAGAATTACACTATATTAACTAGGTTAGGTGTAAAATGTGAACATAGCAATAACTTGTAAATTACGGTAGAGTGCGACAAATCGATAATACTACACTATAGACAGTCAGAATACCCTCATTTAGATATATATCTGAACTCGTTTAGGAATAAATTTCATTCACAGGGCGCTTTGGTCTTAACTACAATTAAAATTATTTTTTCAAATTTCAGAAAGGAACTTTGGCAGATACTAAGAAACTTTTAAAATCAAACATTGCTGGCCGTACTGGAAAGAGACTTAATAACTTTACTACCACAGGCACTTTTTTAAACCAGCGAAAGCAACGGAACATGCGCGTATTACTGGATTCAAGTGTTTTTATGTCCGCCACGACGGCATACAACAATAAAAACTATGCCGTAAGCGATCAAAACTTTTCTAACTTAAGGTCTAAATATGATTTCAGCGACCCAAATGAGAGTTCTCAAAATAAAATTGGTGCTGAAAGTTTGCATGACGGCCATTACGGTGAAGAATCTGATCGCTCATTAACTGTAATGATACCTAGAGCCAAATATTACCCTTCGGCTATGCAGCAAATATTATTGCAACATCAGTTGGCTATGGAGCGTAATAACAACTTGCAATGCGAGCGGGGCACTCAAAACGAAGAAGACATATTGTTTGAAATAGTAAGTTGAACCATTTTTTATACAGTCCACATTGCGCAACCAAATGTCTTCAGAACCGAATGTTTCTTTTCAACCCATCATTTTTTTATGCAACTCTTCATTTAGTATCGCTTTGAGGTTCAATTACCAATTAGTTCTGAATTTGAATTTCAAACATAGTTTTGCCAACATTAATTGAAAAACTTTACATTACATATTTTTTAGAATAAATGTACTAATATTGCGAATTCGAGCGGTAATATAGGCTTAGAAGTTCAAATAATGCCGGGGGCTTTAGTTTCAGCCGGTTACGAGGTTTCAGCTATTGTGAAAGAAAGCAATTCAGCATTTGCTTCGAACTATCCAGAACAAAGTCCAAACTTAACGGCTTCAGAGGACTTGAGACAGGAACTAGCACGATCGATCAGGTGCGATCGCGTAAAATTTCATTGCGCCACAAAGTAAGTGCAGTGCCAACCGCTAATGTTAGTGCATTTAGCTAAAAAAAGTAGTAACCACAAAATTTTTTATTGAATTAAATTCCTCTTACAAATTTACAAACAATATGTGTGAATGTTTCAATTGAACTCATCAGAACTGATGTCATAGTAAAAATGTTGTTGTTCAAATGCTTTCAAAAGATTCTTTCATTTAAACTGTTATGCATAATGTTTAAGCTCCAACTATCAACCAATTTTCGTCATAAAATTTAAAAATTAAAACTCTTCGTCGGCTAACAAGTCATTCTCTTTATAGCTAGAGTATAGCTCAGGATCTTTTAGTAGTTCGTGCCATGAAATTTAGTAATAGCATTAGCGATTATGATAATTATGATATATTATATTCGCTCTGGAGTTCACAAGTACCAATTTACGTTGCTACGAAAGGAGGAAGAAAAACATGTGCTAGTAGGCAGCTACAACAGTTGACAATTGGAGCTAGAAACGTAACTAGCGTGTAAAGAAACTTGATTATCCTAGATTTTTCGATTTGTAATTATCGCGGTTTATTTGTAATTTACCTACTACCGGGTTCAGCAAGTAAACAGGTAAGTTTTTACGAGGTTAGGATTTACTTGCGGGCCAAGAGTCTATAAAGTAAGGAAGCGCACGCTCGCTTTTACATTAAGGACCCCGTTTCAGACGAGCAGAGCAAAAATTAGTAATTATCGGGGATTTACAGAGCTAAATCTTCTTTTCGGGGCGAAAGTCTATTAAGTAAGGATGCAAGTGCCTACCGTTACTTTAAGGATCCCGTTTCGAACGAGCATAGCAAACGTTGCTAATCACCGAGGATCTTCAGAGCTATGGTCTCCTTTCGATCCAAGAGTCTATAATGTAAGTTTGCAGGCACACACTCTCAAACTAAGGACTCCGTTTCAACAGCAACGGGCAGACTACCAAGCTAAAAGTTTAAGAGTATACAAGAACAGTTTCCACTTAATTTGGTTGCTGCTGAACAAGCAAGAAAAGATCATCGTTTGTTCGCTGCTTTTATAGCTGCTAGCTGTCACAACATTGATAAATAGCTTTCAACGCTATGGGTGTGCGTACTTCAAAAAGGTATTGTAAGATATATATATATATTGACGCTTATAACTCAAAATAGCAGAGTGTTTGAATGTTTAGCGGGTGTAGCATGCATAAAACCTTTTTTATATAACTTGAAGTATATAGGTCTATAGGTGCGGTAAAGTATGTAGCTTAAAGAACAATTGCGAAAAAGAGTTTGAGAGCTTTATTTTTAGAATAAATCTTAAGTCAAGAGTTAATATATTATAAAATGTGCATATTGGGGCGAGTATTCATAGGTGAGTAAAAGTATGAGGTCAAATACAATGTAAATGTAATTATAATCATGCGTGTTCAAGTATAAAGACAAGAGTGTGTTCCAATGTAAATTCAACTGCGAAGGGAAACGTATCGAATATGTAAGCATAAGTATGCCAATGTTAAAATATGTATATAAGTATGAATTTAAATACCCTGAGTACAATATGTTCAAAACCGAGGAAAACACCCAATTATTTATGTTGGCATAGTTTGAGACAAACAGGAACGGTGGTGTCCTGAAAGCAGCTCAACCTTTGAAAAGGGTAAGGAAGTGGTAGAGTGAATAGTTACTTTTCGTAGAAAGGATTACATAGAACGAGTTTCAAACTATTGGTGCCAGCAAAAGTTTTCACATAAACTTAATATGTTGAAACGTCTATGCAGTTCCTTCATTACATTATGTCGTTTATACGTAAAGTTGGTTCGTTTACTAGCGCTATTTTATTGATTATATCGACTTCTATTTGATTTCTAGCAAGCTTGTTTTGTTTTTTAAGCTTTTGAAACTCTCGATGTGTCTCTTTTTTCGACTAACGCAATTTAACCATATCCTTTTGAACTTCTTTCAAGTGATTTTGATTCAAATCCTTTAACTTCTGGTTAGGCTTATATTGTTCCAAATTCATATGGTTACAAGTTCGTTTTTCGCAGTTTTCTCTTATAAGGCTGGTTTCTACAAAATTGAATATTTGATTCTTTTTTCTCCCTTGATTTTCCACTACTTTTCACTTTTTCTCTTCTTTAATTCTACTTTGTATGCTTCTTTGGCCGCTACTCCCATGGTCTTGTTTTCTGCTTCCACTTATTGCAGTACTTTATTCGTTTTGTTATTTTTAATTCTTAATTTTCGTTTGCCTTGCCTATGAACTTCTTCTTCTTTTGCTTGTTTGTCCAAATGTGTGATAGCAAAGAATTTTTTCAAAAACATCATCAAAGATCGGCATAATCTGTGTTTACCTGACTTTTTTTGACTGGTATGACTCCATTTGCCACTATTATGGTGACGTTGACAACCCAATGACCAGCTTGCAGCCATTCTTGCAAATAATCTCTCGCTCGTTTATTGATAAACGTGCTGGTGAATGCCAGATATATTTAAAATTATCATCAGGTACAATTGCTGAATTGCATGCTGATTGGACGCTGGTCACTATTTTCTCTCGGTGAATTGTCAGAAATAATTTTTTTGACAGATTCTTTATATATTGTTGGCAGATTCAGTTCATCTGCACTGATGGTATACAACCATCAAATAAATTGCCATTCTCTTGTTCACAATTAAATTCTATTTGTTCTCTTTATTGTAATATGAAATTTTTTTATGAAAACATGGCCTGTAATTCCTTCGTTTTTAATTTCATCATTTTTGAATACCACAAAATCATGTTCTGTCTCCATATTGTCTATGTTTACTCTAGCTTTCAATTTGCCAATCGCATTTATGTGTAAGCTTTCCAAACCCTAAAGCTTTTTAAGGTTGTAAAGCATAATCTTTAAATTTCTTTTTGTGTACACTTTCTTTTATAATACAAACATCAAAAACAGTGTCTGTTAAGCAACTGATCTTTACATCGTTTATGAAAACTTTTTCTTTTTTTTCTATTTTGCTCTACAATAACGTTTATCCCTTCTTTACTTTGACTTTGTTGCTGCAATTTTTAGTAATATGTCAATATTTTATTTATTTATTTATTTATTTGTTTATTCCACTTATATAAGGAACTCAACTAAAAATTTTGACAGTCGAGTTCAATTGACTCTTAAATTATTTAATATTAAAATTTAGTATAAGTACAATAGAACAAATAAGAAGAAAAAAAGAAACACAAGAAAAAAACAAAAAAAGCATGTACACAACTGGCACAGAGAGCCACACCTACAACCGGTACAGGACCAAATTGCGATGGAACCCCTAAGCCATCGCAAACATGCATATGCTTGGCAACCGATAATAATTAACAACAATTAGCTTTCGACGCATCGTGACATTTTAAGGTTAAGAGCTAGTCTGAGTACGACATAGATAAATTATGCATATTAAGCAATGCTGCTTTAATGGACTTTAAAGAGTCCGATAATGAGAATAAGTGATAGACATGATTTAGGTTCTTGCAAACAACTTTGAGCGGGTTAAACAGCTCATAATTATATGTACATTCACCAAGCTAAACCAAGAGAAAGTGCCTAGAGAAGCGGTTAGGGACACTAAAGCTTATCTCACCAAGTAATGCAAGCAAGTCAATAGCACCATTTATTACTTCGATTACGCAGGAAACATCACGAACAAATCTATGTTTTTCAAGAGACGGTAAGGACAGCAGAAGCAACCAATTTTCATAGGGGGAAAAGAGGACCCCAATTCAAATTCCTAAGAGCAGACAGTAAGAATTGCTTTTGAACACATTCAATTGAATGTACATAGCATCTATATGAAGGAGACCACACGACAGAGGCATACTCAAGTATAGGTCTAACCAAACACATTTACAGCCTTTTAGTAATGTAAGGATCATCAAGTTCTTTGCAACAGCTCTTTACAAAACCAAGCACGGACCTAGCTTTGCTTAACGAGTGCTCAATGTGCAAGTTCAAACGTAATCTAGGGTCAAATAGAACGCCTAAATCTGCGAACATATCGCCGTCCTCCATCTTATGCGAATCAATGAAATACTGAGAAATGAATAACTTTCTTCTTGAGAAAGAAAGCTTCTTACATTTATTTGGATTTATTTTCAGAAGATTCAAAGAGCACCATGCAACCAGAAAGAAGAAGGAAGGAAGAAAACAGTTTCACATCATCAGCGTACAGATGTCTCTGAGGGTTTAACGTATGTACACTACCGTGAAGGTTCGAACTCCTCGAGGTTAATAATCCTCGCTACATACAGTGCCGAATTCGGCACACACGTTGCCATGAGGAATATTAAGTCCTCGAGTACCAGACGAGATACGTTATGGTCGCATCTCCCCTCTGGTGATGGCGAGGCACTATCTTATACCTCTGCCTTTCTGTGGGTAAGGCACCCGGTTGCGATGCAACTCCACACCGAGCAAGAGCTCTTCCCGCGATTTTTGGGCCAACTGCAGCCACCACGAAACTGTCGCTGTGGGCCATCCCCGTTGTCAGACCAAAGCTAGAGGAAGTGGTTTGGGGGCTCCTGACGTCCGTAGTACCGGAATAGAAAGGAAAAATTGAGAAATAATTATAAAAGTCTCCGGTCGGACTTTCTCGGTTCCATAAGACCCGCACTCGGCGTGAGATAGTCATTTGGAGGAAACCAGTCAATACCATGCGCATGGGCATAGTATTCTCACTGAGAGGAACGAGGCTCATCTCAACCCCTTAGGAAAAACTTTTGTGGACAGAGTCCGAAGACCGAGTGTACAACAATAGCGATGTAGGGGAAACGTGGAAACGGATTTCCCCACATCGCCAACCAGAGAGAGGAAGCCTCTGGTAATACTTAAGAACTCTATGCAGCTCCTAACCCCCTGTTGTTCAGTCATAGTCACCGTACAAGAAGAGTCGTAGCACGGAAAAGGATCAGACAGAGTTGTCCAGATCAAGTCTCTCGGCGCGTCTCGGTGCGTCTGATGAACGCCCGCTCTGCCTTTGGAACTGTTCTCTAAACGGGATTGCCTTAAAGCACGGACACGTTCCTTTAAAAACGTGATACGCTCCTTGAAATTTAACCTCTCTAGTTCATCATTACTTAACGCGTCAGTTGGCAGTAACGGCAGTACCCTCTTTATCCTGAAGGCAGTGCAAATACGCTTTGCTTCCAGGTTTGAAGGGGGTGCA